AATCTCATGGAATTATTATTGTTTTTAGTTGGTAATAATTGCGGTGAACTAGTTAATACACTTTCATTATTCAAAAATGTAGCATTAGTATTTGAACCGACATGCGTTTTTGTTATGCCATTATTGTTGTCGTCATTAGGTTTAGAAGGTAATTGGAAATGTGCGGGCCTAGGACTTAAAGTAAATTGCTGAGTAAAGCTAGGTGCATCATTGTTCACATTATTACTATTGTTACCATTGTTATAACTATCTACAGAAGAATTATTTTGATTTGGCGGTGTTAATGGATGATAGTAATAGGATGAATGTAATTGTTTATTGTCAAATGATGTTTTTGGAGTAGGTAATTGATTAGAATGTGATGATGATGCAGTAGATTGAATATGGTGACTTTGATGATACATGTTATGATTGCTGTTATCACTACGTCCCATGTAAGGTAATGTACGAGATCTGACTGGAGTTTTTGGTGGTGGACGATGATAATATGAAGTTGCAGGAGGTTGAGATTGTTGCGTCGTTGTCGACGACGTTATAGGATAATGAAAAGATTCCAAGGATGTACTAGAAGAAACTGCAGACGGTAATGTATCAAAAGAATGATGACGAGTGGGAGGAAGCGAAGAATGAGAAAATGAATGAGAATTTGAAGTGTTAGTAGAGGTGGTAACGTAAGAAGATTGATGTTCTAATAAAGGAGGTAGGGTGGTTCTTCTCTGTGTTTTACGATATGATGATGATGGAGTTGGAATAGGAGGGGAAGCGGTAGTATGATGAGGGTTAGTGAATCGGTTATTGTTCAAAGGTGTCGTCGTCGGTGGTTGTTGATAATCATATGACATAACTTCAGGATTTGATAATCTTGGGCGTTTATTTAATATTGATCGTTCAAATTGTTCATGATCTTTGTTATCATGGTAAGATGGAGAAGAAAACATGAGGTCAACGGATAAGGAATGAACAGACATACGTTCATCATGGGATGATGATTCATGTTCAGAATCATCATAATATGAGCGATGACGTTGAGGTGGCATATGTGATTGTGAGTAACCTAACGGGGGAGGATATGATAATGCACCACCCCTTTGCCTAGAAGGAAATTGTGAATGAGATGACGCGTAAGGTGGTTGTGAAGTTGGGTAATACGCGGAAGGAGCAGCATCCATCATGTTCATTGAAGGAGTTTCATGCGTAGGTGTTGAAATTGACAGCAATTGCATTGGATTACTTAAGCTCCTCTTTCTTTTAATAGAAAATTCACCAATTCCATCATCATTCATATTATCATCTTCACATTCAGCGGTATCAGATTGTCTATTATTGGACTGCGGACGTTTCATTTGAATACGATGTTCTTTACGAATTCTTATCCTTACACCTTGATCTGAAAAAGATCTTGATAAAAAGGTTGACTCTGACATTCCGGGGAATGTTTTGGGAGAATAAACCGTAAATACATCTGATATCGCTGATTGTATATGAACAACCTCATCCCTTTTTAAAATAATATCAGATGAAAGGTTAGTTTATTTGTCTTTCATAGTGAGGAAAATTCTTTGATTGATATTCGTACCTTACGATTTCGAATAAACTAAACCTTAAACGATAACGACCCTCAACGCGTACGGATATATCACCAAACACAAAAAACCCACCATCTATCGATGAAGACGCGTAGTATAATTAAGCGTTATTAAAAGTGATTTATTTATTTTTTTTTTTAAAAAAAAAAAAAAAAGCATTCCTACCATTATTATCGATGTCTTTTAATTTGTGTAAGGAGGAGACAACTGTGCCAGCAAGATAACGCGAAGAGATGGTGAAACTTTCACTGTTATCTGTTGGATGCACAAGGTTTGCACACATAAAATAATAAGGACTTTGGAGAAAATTTCTACGATGAGGCATAAAGAAGAAGGTTAGACGGATCAAATCAATTAGGGATTTTAAAAATCAGATTCAATCACTAATCGATTGGCCTATCAGAAATTATTCCGAATCGAATGGCTGTAAAATTCTTACTGGGCTTCGTCACCATAACCATCTATCTTTAATTGAATGATTGGAGGTGGGTCAAGAGGTCTTCGATCTAATATCAAACGAGGCAGAAAGTATAAGTTTTTTGTGAAAAGAAAGAAAAAGAGAAACAAAGAGAAAAAAAAATAGGGATTAGAATAAGATGCACACCTCGTTCTTTCGAACTACATAATCGAGCTTGTTTAGGCTGTTGTCGTATAACAAGTTGGTATTGATCACTGTAAGAAGTTTTGAGTTAATGACTTTCACCCATGATGAGAAAGATAAGAAATACAAAAAGAACATAAACTTTACCTATCAAGCGACGGTTGACGATTCGACGTGCTTACGAAATTGTACGTGTTTAATACCGGATTTTTTGACATTATAAATAAAAAAAATAAGAACTACAAAAGAAGTTGATGAGTCCAGTCTCCTCGGCTATTATTGTATATAGCAAATGATATATATATATATATCTCTTTTAAATTATTTCTAAATTTCTTTTCAATCCTCAAAAAATTTTTTTTTTTTTAGGAATGAGCGTGTAGGTTATAAATATTATAAAGTTTACTTTTTTTTTAAATAAAATGTGTAGGTAAACGTATGTTTAGTTTAGGATTGGAATGTTTAAATATAATAAAGTTTAAAAAAAAGCACGTTACTATATAGATATATACGTGTATATATATATATATATATATGTATATGTATATATAAAAAGAATTTTAAAAAGGTGGCTTTTCTTTAAAATGTTTATCTGGTCCTTGAATTCTTATTGATATCAAAAAAAAGGAAAAGAAATAAAATATAATCGTTATAAATTTTTTGAAGAAAGAAAAGAATTTTAACTTCCAAGAAATAATAGAAAAATGATGAAAGATGAAAAAAAAATTTTTTTAAAAAATAAATATTTTCAAGTTTTGGAATATAAAAAGGAATGTCGGATGAGTTATGGTGACATCAGGGAGGTGAAATAATCCGTTGAACGTTTGAAAAGAACTGAAAAGATAAAAAAAAAAGGTAGTAATATTTTTTTTTATTTTTTTTTTTTTAAGATGATATAATTAAAAACAGGTTAAAATAAAATAAATAAAAAAAGATTTTTTTAAAATGGGCAAATCCGTACCAATTAGTTAATTTGGTAATAAGGAAGTTGAAGTAATAATCTACAATAATATTTGTACAATGTAAATTAAATAAACATTATTTGCTTGTTTCATAATGGGAATAAGCAAAAACCGAGAATGCTTTTTTCAACCTTGCAGAAGGTTTAGGTAAATTTTCGCGTGAAAATGAATTGTTAACCGTTTACCCGGTACGTTATAATCGAGTTTTCACCAAAAATTACCTTTGAAATACTCGCGAACCGCACTACTTTTGGTTATTCAAATATCACTTTGCCAATGGCTGAACCGCTTTTTTGTTTAAAAAGTAATGAATTGTTTGTTACACGTAACATTCTTGTTAAGAGAATTGGGATTGAAATGACTTTCAAATATATTTTTAAATGATGGACCAAAAATGGAGATTAAAATGGAAGTTTCCAAATGACAAATCCTATATCCTATATGGTATGGAAACCACTCTTACGTTGGTTTTGACAGTTTACATAATTTCTTGCATTCCTTGCATGAAAGAATTTTGTCATCATGCAGGTAAGAAACATTCCAATCATATCATTGGTTTTATTGTGGGGGATCGGAAAAATCAAATCTTTTCCCAATATTGACTTGTTTACAGTAATCCGAATATATATATAGATTTATATTTTACAACCCCATTACGTTTTAAACCACTTGAAAATAATCGACATCATTATTTATGGAAAGTCAATCCAAATCCCAAAATCAATGATAAGCTTAATCACCCACTATATTAATGCACGGATTTAATATATTTTTTTTCTTTTTCTCTCTTTACAATGAGGAGTTTAAAGCCGGGTTTGTGCACATGTTGAGCTACCAAACTTAATGTATTGCATTGATGATATTTCTTTTATGCATTTTGTAATCTTACCCGTAATCTGTCCTTGTTTTGTTGTTATTGTCGATAAAATAATGCATGCAATGTCTGAATTCAACAATTATTGGAACCAATAGTGTTACAATGAAGTAATGTCGATTTTTTACCTGGTACGCTCGATATTTTTCCTTTCCTTCCTTGTTGTCTAAAAAAAAATATTTATTTTTTCTTCACTGGCGGTTACTAAAAATATATAATCTCGATATAATGGTGTTGTACGATACCAACGCAATATTTATTGCCTTATGTAACGGTTTACCACATTTTATGATCATCTTGGTATCAAAAATAAAATCTATATTTAGTTAATAAGATAATCTTTTTAATAAAAAGAATTTCGGTTTCTTTTTTGTTATTATAAATAAAAATAAAAAAAAATTGGATTTGTAATTTGGAATGATTCTTTGAGTCAACAAATGTCAATCATTTCGAAAGTCAATCCGTATTGCGTAACATATTATTAATTGCTCAGCCTTAAAGATTTTCCCTCGACTGCGTCCTTGTGGATTTTTCAAAAATTATTTTGACAATTTTGAATGAGTTATGCTGCACAAATAACATCGACGTTTCTACCTTCGATTCTTCACCTAGAATGAAAATGACCAGAGTGGAAAATATGAAGAGGATGAATTTGATGAACTTTATAAATTTTGCTTTGGTTGCAAAATGAAAAAAAAAGGTATTTTTATAAATATGATAGTACTAAATTTGTCGTCGATAAAAAGAATATTAATGTTGCACAAAGATCATGTTACAGTTTTTATCCGTAAAACATAAAGCTGTTAAGTATCACGTGAACTAGTTGCGCTTAGTTAATCACGTGGTGATAATCACGTTTAAGCTTTTTTTTTTTTTTGATACAAATGATGTTTATTCGTTTTAAAAGAACTCGATCTTTTTCGTCTATTAATTTAATTAAAACCAGACGAATTAAAAATAAACTAAAATCAAATAATATGAACGATAATAAACTTGAATATCTCGAAACCAAAATGACTGAACCGGGAAGTAAGGACTATGAAAAAATTCAAGAATTGTTAAAAAATGATAAAAAATTAGTTCCTCAATTTTGGGTGAATAAATATAAAAACGAGGCATCAAAGAATTGGTATATTATCTCAATTCAAAGTCTTTTTTTCATTTGATATGCCTTTATTAAATTTATTTAAAAAAAAAAATTAAATTAGGGATTTATTTTATAAACGAAACACTACAAAATTTTTTAAAAATAGACATTGGATAGGAAGAGAATTTAATGAACTTTCGTTTAATAATGATGATCAAGATTCGAAATCACGAGATAAAAGAATAGCTGTATTGGAATTAGGTTGTGGTGTAGGAAATTTTATATTTCCGGTCTTAGATGCAAATCCTTTATTATTTGTTTACGCTTGTGACTTTTCAAAGAGAGCGATTGATTTTGTAAAGGTATATATATATATATATATATATACACGTGTGTGTATTAATTATATCCCGGAAAAGCGAAATTTATTAGAACGGGATAATTGATCCCAATCGGTCAGGATATAATCATATTTAAACATTAATCATATATTTGATTTTTTTTTCCTCCTCTAGAGTCATGCTCAATACGATGAGACGAGATGTAATGCTTTTGTATGTGATTTAACCAAAGACAATTTATCGGATTTCATACCATCAAATGATAACATTGATATTGTTTCATCAATATTCGTTTTATCTTCCATACCACCTGAAAAACATTTAAATGTTATAAGAAACATATCAAAGGTAAAGTTTGAGGTTGATTCATGAAACCATGAATGCGATTTCATTTTCTAAAAGAATCACTCCTTCCTTAGGTAACGAGACAAGGTTCCGTGATTTGTTTTCGTGATTACGCAATATACGATGAGACTCAATTAAAATTTTCAAATGATGGCACGCATAAACTTGATGAGAATTTATACGTGAGGCAAGATGGTACAATGTCGTATTTTTTCATCCTTGAATACCTCAAGGATTTATTTGAAAAGGATAAATTATTTCAAATGATAAGTGGTGAATATGTTGAAAAGGAAACTATCAATAGAGCAAGAGAATTATGTGTCGATAGAAGATTTTTACAAGCAAAATTTATTAGATTATGATGAATAATATAATTATTTTTTTGAGATTTTTTTTACATTTGAAAGTATGATTAATTGATTTATGAAATTCTGATTTAATAAAAATATTTAATACACAGGTTCATTATTGAGACCAGATCACTTTCTTTTGTGATGATGTCCATTGTATGTTCAACTGACTGTTCCCAATCGTCAGTTAACTAGATATCACAAATCTTTATCAATAAACCCTTTTTTACGCGTTCTTATCTGCAAGTTATTATTTAGGTAATATGCTACTTTAATCATATTTTGACCGCCATGGAGTGATTACAGAAGATCTGAATTATTGAAGCACGTGATAAATATTGCTAGGAAACGGATATTGCACTGGAAAATTACTATATGTCCCGCGATATTACTTTAAATTTAAAAAAATGTGGCTGACTTATCATAGATTTTATGTAGTCATCAGCTTTTTATTAGATTCGCAAACATATATTTACAAAAAGGTTACCGGGTATTGGCTTGATTCGCATTACTATAAATTTTTTTTGATAGTCAAATAATTAATAAATTTTTGGAGTAAATAAAATCAAGTTTACTAAGAAAAGAATTCCATGGTTATTTTAATTAAGATCAGATGACTGTTGTGGTGGGAACATATAGTAAGGATATTCCAAATTCACACATTTTATTGTCATGTGCCGGACGAACAGACATTTTTGTGTCACCATGCATAGACCTTTATCTCTGGACTAATAACGAGAATATCAATCAATAGACGGACATCGATAAACTTTATCACGTCTACTATTTACTTTAGTGAGATGAAACTATACTTAATGTAATTCTTTAAAAAAAATGGCAACGACAAAAAATAATATCGATGTTTTAGATGATTGGAAAGAACAAAAATAATAAAAAAGTTTTTTTAAAAAAAAAAAAAAATCTTTTTTCTTAAGAAAAAAAGACCCACTTTATGCGAGTGATTTTGGATTTAATAAGCCGGAAAGGTGATTATGGTACGTGTTACAAATTTGTATACAAGTTAATGAAACCTTAACCATGCATCACTTCTGCTTGCAGCAACATCCACCAAACCGGGACAGGACAGACACCAACATATTGAAACATCGGCAAGAATATGTTTTTATAAAAAATAGGACTTAAATTAATCAATCATTAGAAATTCGAAGCATTAAAAAAAAAACTTTAACAAAACTGATGTAATAATTTACACTTGATTTATAAATTTGGACAGACCGTGCATACAACAATCTGGTAGAGCGCACAGGCATTTGGCACATGTGCAGCGCTTGGCATTTTTTTTTTCTTTTATAAAGTGAACATTATTGTAAACATGGTTGAAAATTCATTCATCGGAAAATATATCTAACCTAAATGACTCGGAATTATTAATTTGTCGTGTGAATTTAAGAGCAAGAAAACTGCGCCCAATTATTAGCAATATGTGAGTGTCAACGTTCAATAAAGATCCAGTAGATATGCACATCGGTGTCATACACAAATGAACCCTATCTGGGCGAATCTTTATTCATTTGACACGTTCGAATATTCATTTTGCGTCAATTGATGTAAATATATGTCCTTGCTGTGGGTAAGCTGCAGTTCCTTGCAGGGATCTTACCAGTGTTTTACTTTGCAAGGTAGTAATATAAAGAAATTTTTTTTAAAAAAAAAATGGGGTCATCAAGGACTGAATTGCCAATTTTCCGATGGGGGATTTTTTTTGTATTGTACTGCGGCGATCTGTGAATGGGGTTTTAATCAATTAAGGTTTTTTTTTTAATAATTAATAACAATTAATAATAATAAAAATTAGAATTTATTGTTATTATTATTTGGCTAATATCTTAAAATGAAAACAAACAAAAAGATTGGGGTGAATAGTACAATACTTAAAATTAACATATTCAGATGAAAAAATGTCATTTTCAAATAATTGGAATTCAAATTAACAGAAAATAAACTTTGGTTGGGGAATTGAACGTTCTTTCAAAGAATAGAACCAAAGCTTTTTTTTTTATGGCATATGCCGTGCTTTATTTATTTTTTTTTTTTTTTGCGAATAATGACAAAATTTTTCATCATTATATTCTTTGATAAATTTTTTTTTTGAACCATATTTTAAAATCTTACCTGCGAATACCATTCTGCCACGCTTTCGTATTTTATAAAAACTGCACTCCACATAGAATATCTATCCATTCTGATTAATTCTCGTGTTTTTTTTTTTTTTTTGTGATTCCCTTTTACGTAATTTAACATTATGCGATAAACAATAGAACCATTATCAGATTTAACATATGTCAGACATTACATTGTTACATTGTCTTTGTTTTTTTTTAAAAAAAAAAAAAAAGGTTAGACGAGCAAGTGATTTGACTGACTGTGCCATTTTTTACCTTGCCAAATACGAAAATGCGGTGTTATACCGATTGCATGTGTCACACATCGTGACACTTTGTGACAATGGGTGTTTTCACATGTCCCCATTTTGTACTAACCTCACATGACTCTGATACCGTCAAACATAACCTCAGATTTATGTCACGTTCGAACTGGATTTCGTTTTTTAGCGCGAGTGGAACCAAACAAATGTCAAAATTAAGGGAAAGGCACTCCCTTCTCACATAACATCCTCGTTAATCGACTTTCTAATCTTTATCATCTTCAAAAAATAAGGGGCATGTGAAGACATTCTTAAAGTGCAACACAAACTTGTGGTACAAACTCGTTGTTCTGTGAACTTCTAACCAGTGACTCAGCCAATCACATCAAAGATTTCTTTAAGGGAGAAAACAATCTAGATCATCACCGTCAGACAGGGTTAGGGTCCACTGATATTATTTATACTATTTTCCAACCGAGAATTTACTCGTTATAAATCCTCAGCCGAAAAAAAAAAATTTACTATTTTTTCATTCAGTACAGGCTTGTATATCTGATATCGTCAAAGAAATAATTAATCTTGCCATCTCGTTCCACACACGTGTCATGTCTGTACTGTCAGATCGCCAAAAGGACGAGCTGTGAGTATGCTCTATTTCGCCTGTCAAGCTTACAATTTTAGAAACTTTCTCTACATCTAGTCTCGGTGAAAAGCAAATTACTCCAGTGGAACCGAGGATAGATTACGCAACACGTGGATTCGCTCAACTTTCCAACCTTCAACTTACTATCCATAGACTTTTTTTTGATTTTTTTGTTTATACGTCGATGCCTCGAATGAGTTGGATATTATTAAATAGAAAATTTATTAATCTTGGGCTTTTTGTGTATAAATATTTATTTTATTGATAATAAAACAGTCACAAAGCCATCCTCGATTATCTATATTCCAGTGGATACACATCTTCGTTTGATTCCCTTAAAGAGGAATCAAAACAAGAAGATTTTAATCCTGATCCCAAGCAAAAATATGCCGGTTTATTGGAAAAGAAATGGACTTCAGTCATTCGGTTACAAAAAAAGGTATTAGAGATTGTAGGATTTCATCATATCCGGTCATTGAAAATTTTACAAAAATTTGTTGACCGTGATGAATCCTTTCTTTTTTCCTTTTTTTTTTTAAAAAAAAAAGGGAAAAAGAATGAATGAATCATTTGGAATAAATCATTGATGTATTGGATTCTTATTTTGAGATTTCATTAAAAAATGTTTACGTCCTTTTAATTAGATTATGGACTTGGAAAATAAAATCACACAAATGCAAGAAGAGTTGAATAATGCACCAATTCGAAAAACAAACAATGCTGTTGACTGGGTGCCACGTGCACCAGAAAAATATTCTTTATCGGGTCACAGAAATCCTATTACACGTGTTACGTTTCATCCAGTGTTTTCTGTAATTGCATCCGCATCGGAAGATACTACCATAAAAATTTGGGATTATGAGACTGGTGATTTCGAAAGAACCCTTAAGGGGCACACTAAAGCGGTTCAAGATATAGCTTTTGATCCAAAAGGAAATTTTTTAGGTAACCTTTAATCCGGACACCTTTACTTGAAGTTTTGTTATATATATATTTCACCGAGTTAAACATACAAAGTTTTCTTTTTATAGTTTCTTGTTCAGCAGATTTGACGATAAAAGTGTGGGATTTGCAGAATGATTACAAATGTGTTAAAACTCTTTACGGACATGATCATAGCGTCTCATCCGTTACATTCCTACCATCTGGTGACATTATCATTTCTACTTCTCGTGATAAAACAATTAAATTCTGGGAAATGGCATCTGGGTTCGTTTTGCTTTTATATCCGGTTCTCTTATCTTAATGTTTAATTCTAACCTTTGTTTTTTTTTTTGTCAAAATAGGTATTGTGTAAAAACGTACACTGGACATTTGGAATGGGTACGGATGGTATCCCCAAGTGAGGATGGTAAGTGGATTGTAACCAGTTCGAATGACCAGGTCAGTCCTTTTTAATGGAAAATAGAAATTAATATCATTACTACATTTTGTAATAATTCTGATGTGTTTATCTGTTAAATTAAAGACTGCTCGACTTTGGGAAGTATCGTCTGGAGAATGCAAAATGGACTTTAGAGGTCATGATCACGTTGTGGAATGTGCAATTTTTATTCCTGTCATTGCTTACCCTTACATACGAGAATTGATAGGTGTAGATAAAGATGTATGTTTACATATATTCTGTTTATTATTATTTTTTTTTATTCAGTTCAAGAGTTCAAATACGAAATCAAAATTTACTTTTAATGATCTACAGCCAAAAGCTACATCTAGAGACCAACCAATTCCCGCACAATATATTGTGACTGGTTCAAGGGATAAGACGATCAAACTGTGGGACTCAACAGGTCAATGTGTAAAGACACTGGTATGATATAAGAAATTAGCATCGCCTTGATAAAGTAAACGTAATCTGTTACTTACTTTTTTATATGATGATACGTATAGGTGGGTCATGATAATTGGGTACGTGGTTTAGTATTCCATCCTACTGGCAAGTTTCTTCTCAGCGCATCTGATGACAAGACTGTTAAGATATGGGATACGAAAACTGGGCGATGCACAAAAACTCTAGAAGCCCATGCACATTTTGTAACGTGCATCGCTTTTAATTCGGGTAGCCCCGTTGTGGCAACGGGGTCTGTGGATCAAACGGTAAAAATTTGGGCTCCTTATAGGTGAAATAATTACTAAAAAAAAAATTTTGTTAAATAATGGTTATTATGGGGATAACATATATAATTATATATATATCATTAAACATAGAATTTTGTTATGTCACAATATAAAGAAGGGATTCATTCATTGTATACTCCCGTCAATTTTTAGTTACCTTGTATCACAGTGTTATAGTGGTTTTTTTCTTGTATTTCTTTTTCATAAAATTATTAATAATTCGATCGTATAGGTTGATCTGACATTTATTTAATAAACATGCGTAAAATAATATGACAAACGGATCAAATCAAGTGATCGTGGAATAATTCGTTCAAACAAGTTTCAATAAATTAAAACGAGTTAGTTTGATTTTTGATTATGAGTAATATTCATTCAGTAGAAATATAGATGAAACAATGGTCGATCATGATTTAAATTGATTAATAATGATGGATGAGAAAGATTAAATTTGAAATCGGAGGAAGGTTGTAGTAATTAATCTAACATACTTTTTTATGTAATCTTACTTTTTATGAATCTCTTCTTTGATAAAAGTGGTATTGAATTACATTGATATTTTAAATAAACTAACTTCATTATTACATTATTGATAACCCTAAACTTGAATTATTCAGCAAAGTTTTTTACCAACAAAAATAAATAAAACGCAAAAAAAATCAGGTTTTTGGGGATTTTTTTTTTTTAAAAAAATTTTTTTGGAGTTGTCGGATAATTTAACGAACTTTTGACGGAGCTTCAAAAAAAAAAAAAAAACTAAACCAAATCTTTTAGAAATGTCTAGCTCACTTGATCAACTTTCTATTAACACTATTCGTACGCTTGCTGCGGATGTTGTAAGGAAAGCTAATTCTGGGCACCCTGGTACGTGTGAATATTCACTTGTCAATTTTTTTTTGCTTTTGTAAAATTCCAATGACAATAAAAAAATGAAACTATTTCTCCTTAGGTGCTCCAATGGGTTGTGCTCCTATGGCACATGTTCTTTTTTCAAGGTTCATTACGTCCAACCCGGAAAATCCGAAATGGGTAAGTTGAAGTAGAATGGCGAAAAAAATTTGCTCAAGGACTTATAACGTTAACATAAAAAAAAAGACCAAAAAAATATTGGGCCAAAATTATGATTATTTGGTCAATTTTAAAAAATTCGTTTGGATCAACATTGAATATTATTTCATGTGACATTTCCAAGGAAACTTACATAACTTGATATTAACAACACTCGTCTTTTTCAGCCTAATCGTGATCGCTTCGTTTTATCCAATGGTCATGGATGCGCGTTGCAATATATTTTACTTCATTTATTGGGATATAAACTTACGATAGATGATCTAAAAGCGTTTCGTCAAGTAGACAGCAAGTGGGTCTCAATGTTTTGTAACATTATCTACGTTTCTTTATTATTTCTTTACGTAAGTGTCTAACTCACTTTACTTCTTAGGACTCCTGGTCACCCAGAGTCTCACATGACTGAGGGTATTGAGGTAACCACCGGTCCACTTGGGCAAGGTAATAATGATCAGATAATTGATTTCTTAATTCATCACGTGTTTTAATATAGATCAATAATTGAGAATTCTCTCGTTACCTATTTATAGGTTTTGCGAATGCCGTGGGAATGGCTATGGCCCAAGCTCATTTCGCTGCTACTTTCAACAAACCTTGTTTTGACTTGTTCACGAATCATACTTACGTGATTGTTGGTGATGGATGTCTTCAAGAAGGTGTTGCTTCCGAAGCAGCTTCCCTCGCTGGGTTAGACGTTTAGATAAAAATTTTATATTTCTAAATTTTTTTTTAACCGGGATGATCTACTAATCAGTATTTATGTATCAGACACTTGCAACTCGGCAATCTGATCGCTCTCTATGATGATAATCACGTGTCCATTGATGGTAAATTAAGGTTTTGTCACTCTGCTCTCAAATTAAACGATTTGTAATTTTTGTATGCAATTCAATCATAGGCGACACGGAAGTGAGTTTCACCGAAGATGTTTGCAAACGTTTTGAAGCCTACGGATGGCACACCCAAGTTATTACGGATGGTGATCATGATCTTGCAAGTATTACCGAGGCTATTGAAAATGCCAAGAAAGTGACAGATAAGCCTTCACTTATCAAGATCAAGACCATCATTGGTATTGGTTCCAAACATCAAGGTACTGAGAAAGTTCATGGTGCCCCATTGGCTCCTGATGATATCGCCCAAATCAAAAAGTTGTACGGTTTCGATCCGGAAAATTTCTTCCAAGTACCTAGTGAGGTTTATGAATACTATGGTCAATTCCGTCTAAAAGGTAAAGAAGCCGAAGCTCAATGGAATAAACTTTTGGAAAATTACTGCGCCCAATTCCCTAATCAGGTAAATCTAAATCATTCCGGGTTTATTCAGGAAAAAAAAGGGATGTGCTAAGAAATTCATGATCTAATCACTTAATAGGGTGGTGAGATCAAACGTAGATTCGCCAATAAATTGCCGGAGGGTTGGGAACAACATTTACCGCGTTATACACCGTCTGATCCCGCGGTTGCCACTAGAAAATTATCCGAAAATGTTTTGAATAAGATCGCCGACGCCTTACCAGAACTTTTTGGTGGATCGGCAGACTTAACTGGTTCGAATCTGACGCGATGGAAAACCGCGGTTGATTTCCAACCCGATTCAAATGGGTTGGGTAAATATTCAGGACGTTACGTAAGATATGGCGTTCGTGAACACGGTATGGCTGGTGCTATGAATGGTATTACCGCTTACGGAGGCATTATCCCATTCGGTGGTACTTTCCTGAACTTTATCAGTTATGCGTTGGGATCTGTGCGATTGTCAGCCCTTTCTTCCTTCCGTGTTCTTTACATAATGACTCACGATTCAATTGGATTGGGTAAGGAATTGTGACATCTTCACTGGGGAAATGAATTAATTTTAACACGTGAACAATCATGATTAACCTTCTTTTTGAATAACAGGTGAGGATGGGCCTACTCATCAACCGATTGAAACAGTCGCGAGTTTACGTGCATTGCCAAACATTTTGGTATTCCGTCCAGCCGACGGTAATGAAGTATCTGGTGCTTATCTTGCAGCGATTAACAATCTGAACAGACCGTCAGTTCTCTGTCTTTCTCGACAAAATTTGCCTCAATTAGAAGGTTCATCTATTGAGAATACCCTGAAAGGTGGTTATGTATTGAGAGAATGCACGGATGCAAGAATTACCTTATCTGGTACGGGATCCGAAATGGGAATTGTGGTTGAAGCAGCCAAAAAATTGGAATCCGAGGGAATTAAAGCACGCGTAGTATCTTTACCATCTTTTGAACTTTTTGAAGAACAAAGTATTGAATATAAATCATCAGTTTTTCCTGATGGTATTCCAATTTTAAGTGTTGAAGCTCTAGCAACCTTTGGATGGTCAAAATATGCTCATGCAAATATTGGCATGACGACTTTTGGTTCTTCCGGTCCTTATCAACAACTTTATCAGAAATATGGCTTTACAGTTGAAAATATTACTGAGAAAGTAAAGAAAACTATAGAATTTTATCAAACGACTCCCGTTCCGTCAGTTATTTATAAACCTTTTTAAAACAAATTCCTGTATTAATTTAATTTTGTCGCCTTTTATTATCATATATGCTCCGTTTTTTTTTACAATAATGTATTGTATATAATAAAAAATTTATGAATTGAAGAATTTTCAAATTGCTAATTTCGAATTTTAAATTTTACCAATAAGGATAATGAACACTTGCTAATTTGATTATCATTACCAATCAAATTTACGAATTGTTTTCTCATATAAACCCGTTAATTTAAATTGAATTATTTTATTTTTTTTTTCAATTTTCTTTTTATATCCCGGTTTGTTTTCTTTAGTTTGCTTAAACATTTGACGAGAGTCAACAAAAAACTATCTTCAGGCTAACTCTTTCTCAACTTTACAAATTGCTAACTTTGTGAACGTGAAATATACCATGAATACTTTTAAGAAGCAAACATGGACGTATGATCCATTATATAATACTGAAGTAAAATTATTTATTAAAGACATTTTTAATTTAACATGTATTCAACATCAAATATTTGATAATAAAACCGGTAAGTTTTAACTATCCATTCCTTTATAAGTCTTTTTTTTTTTTTTTCGAGAACTTATGTGTGCGAATATTTATTTGCAAGTACAGGAACGGAAAAACAAGTATCAGTGTTTTACTATAGTAAAACGAATAGACCAATGCAACTTATTGATATCATTGGAATAGTTAGAGCCATTGACATAATTAAACAGAAAGTGATTAAATATTATCGTAAATATAAATAAATAATATATATATGTTCTTTTTCTCGTTCTTCTTGATGACTATCATACGCGTTCTATATTAAATTCTTCACCCGTAACTTCTTTATTCTCGCGTAAAACAACAATATAGTTGACGACGGGACATCGACCATTGCTTGCGTGGCGTTCGCGCCAGAAGACAAACCTTTTACACAACTACGAGGTGATCCAACAAGTTCATCGGGAAGTAATTCGCTTTGTCCTCCTACACCTAAAATATCATCCATTCTGAAAAATACTAAATTTAACCTAACAGAGTTGGTTAGAGTGATTGGAGTAATTAATGAATTTAATCAAAAAAGGGAGATTAAAATCCGTTTTATGGGTGAGTATATTTATTGTGTTTGGAGGAATGAAATATCTTTTAATAACAATAATCAACATCATAATAATAATCATAAAGGAAGTATATACTGTATGTATCTCTATGTATATAATTATTATTATTTTTTTTTTTTGTAATATGAATCGAACATATCACAGAAAAGTTAGAAGATCCGAATGAAGAATTACTTAGATGGACCGAAATAATTTACTTAAAAAATCACGTATATTGTCGAGAGTACAATATCCCACGTCATCAAAATTCAGGACGAGAAATCAGGCCATCCAAGGCTAATAGAAATAATATATCAGAATATTATTCAAAAAAAATGAAGACGTCAACAACGAATAATTTAAACAAAGTACCAAATGATAATGAAACGTTGAAGAGACGCATTAAAGAATACATTAAAAACAATGAATTAAATGAATTTAGATTTAGTAGAATTATTGAAGTAACTGAACTACAACAAGTTGCAACCAAAATCATACAATTGAAAGGAGAAGAATTTAATTCCAAGAAGAGGGTGAATGAAGAAGTAAGAAATTTATTTAAGAAATCATTGAAAAGTTTGGTGCAAGATGAGAAATATTTACAATCGGATCCGAATTTAATTTCATTTAAAGTCATCAAAGGATAATGATAAAAGATCTAATTATAAATAAATTGTACAAATTTAGAAGGAATCGTAAATTTATCAACAAATAATTTATGATTCCAATAAATTTTCATTAAATTTGGACAATGTTGATCCAATTCATTAAGGTCATTATAATTCAATGATTTCAAACTATAATCCTTGTTAATAGTTAAAGGTAATAGATCATCATCACTTTGTAACATTTCAGTAACATATAAATCTTGTAAATTCGATGATTTTTTAATGCTATTTATCATATCATGTGTTGTTAATCGACAAAACGTTATTGGTAAGTTTTGTAATTTTAATGATCTAAGGTCAAGGTGTTCGCAAATAATATTTAAGCCGACTGCAGAAACTTGGATTCCATCCAACAACAATTCCTCTATTCCATTGTTGATGATGTTGTTTAGATGAAATTTTAATAAGGCGTTTCCAATGTCTTCACAACGATTGATTAAGATCTCTAACGAAACATCACAAAGTTTTAAATCATAACCATGATAATTTGCTCGAGGTTTGGTTACTGAAATTTTTCGTTGTGTCTTGCATAAATTTGATAATGAAAGTAAGAATTTCTCCGAGAAAGGACCGTAATCTATTAATAATTCCTTTAGCTTACAATGATCTTTGGTATTGGGAGTGGAAAAACTATCTTGAATTAATTGTAAAATGGTCTGTTCGGATAAATTTTTATTTTCAGTAATATTTAAATATTCAAGGTTAATGGAATTTTGGGTAATCGTAAGTAAAGAATCGTCTAACCCTTGAAAGTGCAAATCCAAGGATCTTAAATTTTTATTTTGACAAGCCAACGAGACTAAAAACTGAGATGGACATGATGGTTGTATATCGATCGTTAAATGTGTTAAATTGGTTAATTTGGACTTGTAAATAGGATCCGGAATTGATGGGATATTATTATCATCTTTATTATGTCTATTTTTGATAGAAGGAAATTTTGTGTTTAATAATTTTGTTGTAACGATGTCTCTTAAATTCCTCTTGCCCGTATAATTTGTATAGGTATTTTTGGTATTCATATTGTTGATATTGGTGTTGGTAGTTTCATTAGTAAAAGTGGTGATGTTATTTGCCTCTGAATTTTTCCCATCGATAGTATCATTTGGCTCGGAAATTAAAGAGTAGAGTATATTAGTTTCATTAATAGAACACTTGCTAAGTTTCAATATACTCAACCTTTTCAATTGTGAAATTGCGATAATAATACTTTTACTTAAAGTACACTTTCCAACCACGACCTCTCTGACTTTTTCACATTCACTAATGCATTTACTTAATTTTTCTCCTGACAAGTATGCTAAATTTGGACTATTTAAAGTGATGCTTTGTATGTTGTTCACGAGAAATTCTTTTGTATGAACCGAGTTGTATAAAATATGGTGTTCCGTACGATATAACGTACCAAGGAATGTGCCAACATCTTTAATGTTCTTTAAATTAACACAAGAATAAAGAAATTTGGTAGAAATTTCATTGAATAAACGTGATACTAATGCGCTAGAAAGTAATGAACTCTGATCGAGGTTAGATATAATTATCGGAAGTATATCCGCATTTGTTATTACTAAATATTTTGCGTGACTTACTGCCATTGAATTTTATATTTAAACCGAAAAAAAAAAAGAAAAAAGAAAAATTAAAAATTTGGGAAACGCGTCAAATCATTTTTCAACGTAGCGAAGACTTATTTATATTATATTTATTGGGGAACTTTGACCGGAATTTTTTTCCCGGCAGTTTTCCCTCCTTTGTTTTATTGTAAAAGTCCTAATTATAAAAATGTTCCGAAGTCCGCCCGTTCAAAAAATTTGAACCGATACATGAATGGTCCCTTTCGTTACACGTGTGCTCGGGACTTTCAAAGGATCGGCTATCATTTTTATCAAAGTTTATCAAATATTTTTAATCAAAATTTAAACGAACATTAAAAAGGTTTATTGTGAACTTGATATATATATTTATATAAATATATAAATAGAATGATTATATTAATATTCTATTTAAATCAATTAATTACTATTGACCTCAATAATAATAATAATAAACGACATCTAACTATAAGTATCCACCAGCGAATCTCTCATTTCTTTGACTATAGCAGTAGGTTGTGCATCATGTAACTTGAAAATGCTTTCTACCACTGATATCTCTGTTGAAGTACTATCCAATCCAGCAAATGCACACCAGTCGTTTACCACAATACCTGCTCCAATCACATCCGATCCACGATTTATCGTTCCTGCCTATGAATTGCGAATAATAAATCTTAGAGAATGAATGTTCATGCTTATTTAATCATAGAATCATCATCTTAACGTACCACGAGGGGAACTTGTAATAATGAAGATAATTCATCCTGATCTTGAACCGATGTACGCGGATGAACCTACGGTGTAAAAATGTAAAAAAATAAGAAATTATTTTCAATCAAATTAATTGAATTGTAAACCCTTTTGTCGCTTACCAATCCACCTTGATTATTTATTGCGCAATAACTTCCCACGAGAACATTTCCGGCGATAGTTTGGGTAAAAACTTCAACTCCCAACACATCACGAATAATCTCTTGAGTTTCTCGATCAATATCGGGATGCACTAAGGCAACATAATCATTACATGCAATTACATTACCCAATGCAGAAAGTCGTTCTTCAATACGTTGAATTTGCACGGGTTCTGGCAAAGAGTTGCGTAAATGTTGGAGTTCTTGATCGGTCGTGGTGTTTGGTACCAATAATCCTTTACGGTTACCTAAGAGAATAATGATTTAATTGTTGTCTTTAATCTTTTACGGTTAATCACATTCTTGGAGAAATATTCGTTATTTACCGACTGTTAACCGTCCAACAATCCGAGTACCAGCAATCGAAGCATGAATTACGGGAATCACGTCACCCAATTCACCTTCGAATACGCTATAATAAATCATAATTAATATATCAACGCGTATCATTTAAAAAAATTTTATATGGTACAAACCTATAAAAGTTTTCGGAACCTCCGATCGCGACCAAACAATAAGAATTGGTCAAACGAGAGAAAACTCCAATCTCATTACTATTTTCAAATTGAGCACCTTTATGAATAAGAACAATAATAATTAAATAATTAATTATATTTTTATTTTAATTTTAATTTTTTCAGAGAAATCAAATGGTATTTGTCAGAAAAAAAAACCAAGTCGACTCAAAAATTAAAACGTTACTTACGAACAGCCATTTAATTACCAGTAGAGTACGAAAAGGAATAAAATTAAGAAAGTTAAAACTTTTAAAAACTTTAGTGAAACTCAGTATTTAGGAGTTTGAAAAAGTTTTGAAGAGGCCACTTTAATTGAATAAAAGTCGGGTTATTATATAATGACCGATTTGATTCACCGCAGTTTAATTGAGCGCAGTTTTATAATTTTTAGATAATCTTACGCATGTGATTTATCACAAAAAGTATCTTAAATGAACTTTATCACATTATCACGTGTACGTTAATAAGAAAAAAATTAGTTTTTCCAGCTTTTTAAACAAAATTCGATTATTTATTATTTATTTATTTATTTATTTTTATTATTATTCAATTTACTTCAAAATTTTGTTACCATTCGTTTTTTTTTTTTGGATAGTAAGTTGTATAAATGGCGAACCCTACTGAAACTGAAAGCTGGACACCAAAAGATACAAATGATAGTGGTTGGATAGCTGAGCAACCTACAAATTCAGACTTGGAAACCACCAGTGCTTCGAACAGCTGGGAAGCCGATCTGCACTCTAGTTCGAAAAATAACGATAAAAGTCACAAAAAAGGTGGTTCGTATAAAAACAGAGCTACAAAGTCTTCGACTACTCAAGAAGAGCCAACCGGTTGGGGAGCTGAACCCAGAAACAAGGATTCTGGCGGTTGGGGTGGCTCTTCAAGTAATTTTGAAGAAGTAGAAAATTGGGGTATTATTAAAAATAATAATGGTGATAATAACGTGAGTAGTTGGAATTCATCTTCTAATCATAACGTGAGTTTCAATTGGGCAATGGAAACCGAAAACACTAATAGTAATGGTTATAAAAATGATAATAAGGGTACAGAAGCTTGGGTCAAAGATTCATCTGATGCTAATATAGGTGCATGGGGAGAAGATATAGATAATAATGTTAAACCCAGATGGGAAGAAACTGCAAATAATAATAATAAGCAGCCAGAGAATATTAATAAGCATCTCGAGAATAATAATAAGCAGCTCGAGATTATTAATCAGCAACCCGAGAAAAATAATCAGCCAGAAAAAAACAATAAACAGCCCGAGAATGTAGATGGATGGGGAGATCCAATAGAAAATAATAATAAGCAGCCCGAGGATAATAAACAGTCCGAGAATGTAGATGGATGGGGAGATCCAATAGATAATAATAATAAGCATACCGAGAATAATAATAAGCAGCCCGAGAATAATAATATACATCCAGAGAATAATAATAAGCAGCCCGAGAATTTAGATGGATGGGGAGATCCAGTAGATAATAATAATAATCAGTCTGAGAAAGTAGTTGAATGGGGAGTTAATTCTAATGTACCTGCATGGGGAGATGAGCCAGATAACCCCGGAGGAGATTGGGGTACTATCACTGAGAATAATAAAAATGATCAATGGGATCCTTCCGCTTATGAAGAAACTGATAAAACTGCTGTTTGGGTAAATGATCAGCAAAGTTACTCAAATGATTATTCAAGGCGAGAAGATAATAGATCTCTATCCAGGGGTGGTCGCGGTGGTCGCGGTGATCGTGGTGATCGTGGTGATCGTGGTGATCGTGGCTTTCGTGGTACTCGTCGTGGTGGACGTGGTGGACGTGGCGGGCGCGGTAGTTATTCCGGCGGTAGAGCAAGAAGAGACGGACCTCCGTTGCGCAGAGATGATGATTATAGAGGCCATAAACCATCATCCTCACGTGGTGGTCAAAACAGTGAGAGTAAGTTTTATTTACTAAGATAAAAAAAAAAAAAAAATTTTATATCATTTTTTATTTTCCAGATCATGATTTACCTCTCGAAGATGTAAATAATGAGGATACGCCCAAATTTGTCAACAATAAACCTGGTAACATTTATGAAAGTATCCATGCTCCCAAAACTGAATCTGGTCCTTATGTTAATAAAGATAGAGTATTATCAGGAGGGGTTCGTCAGGTAAGCCTGTTACACGTGATATTGATTTCATCAATTCGCCTATTTTTTTTATTGATAAGATTTATTTCAATTATTAGAAACCTAATGAAGACGAAGTGACTAAACGCATGGAAGCAATGAAGGTCTTCAATGAAAAATTGTTGGAAAAACGCAAGGTAATGATAGATAAGTTCTTCGTCCAAATAAAATAATTACTTATCCATTTTTACCTATTTTGTAATTTGAAAGGTGGTTGATGAAGATGAAGCTAAGTTCCGGAAAATTGATGAAGAACGAAAGAAAAAAGAATTGGAAAATCTGGAATTGCAGAGAAAGAAATCGGAAGAGGAGGAACAAGAAAGGAAACGCCATGAATTTCAACAGTTACAATTACAGCAAGAACTTGAGTACGTATTATAAATATTCTAAATCTATTTAATTTTTATCTCCTGCTCAAATTAAACCTAAATATGTTTTCGTTTAATATCTTTTGTAATTAAAAAGTCAGGAGCGTGAGGAAAATGCTATGCGTAAAAATAAAAACCGTGAAAACAGGGAATGGGATATGGAAAAGAATGATTCTGACTGGCATGACTCACGTAACCAAAGAAATAATTCACGTGGTAGAGGCAATTACAGGAACGGTTCTCGTGACGAAAGTTTCTTTAGAAGAGGATCTAGAGATGAATACGAATATGATGAATCGAGAAACGCTCGTGGAGGACGTTCACGAAATCGTGGTGGTGGTCGTGGTCGTGTTCGTGAGAGAGGAAGGAGATATAGTGATCAAAATAAAGATTTCCCTAATAGATCTTCTATCACTGAGGAAGGTTTCGGTAGCGGAAATAGTTGGGCAGAACAAACAGAGAAAGATAACATGAATTCTTGGGAAACGACAGTAATTCGTGATGAAAACCAGAATGAGAGTAAGAGTAATGGTAAATTACCAATCTACTAGAGAATTCATTTAAAATTTATTACAGAAATATTAATTTAAAGATAATACAGGTTGGGGAGATTCTCCTGTTGATAAAATTGAAGATTGGGCTAAAGGTATCGTAATAAATCGTTAATGTTTTTGAGCAAACGTCTTCACGTTTTTAACACTTTTTTTATGCAGACGTTGATCAAAATGATGCACCTAATAATGATAAGGTCGAGGATGGTTGGGGACCTACTGTTGATAAAGTAGTCGATGATTGGAACTAACTCTTTTGAAGGTAAGAATACTTATAAAATGGTATTATTTTATATCAACAAAGCTACTATATTAGTTGAAATACTTCTTGCTATACATATTAGACATGATATGAAATGAATACTATATGATATATCTTTCGTAACATTCAAGCCATTCGAATTCGAAGTAATTTAGGTAATGATATCTATCGAGTGGGATTATTTTTTTTTATTTGACAGTTAAGTAATAAAATAAATTTTTTTATCAATAGCCAATACTGTTATTCCGATAACAAGCTTAGTACAACCCAAAACATAAACATTGGTGACTACGTGCCTTCAGCACACCCGAACTTCAAGAATTTGTAACATGGTAAGGGAATCTCAAGTTTGATTAAACTGTTGGTTTTATTTTTTTCATAAACATTTGACAGTTTCTCATTATTTACTTAAATTGTTTATAGCAATTTTTTTTTTGGTTATATTATTTATCCTTGGTGTTTTTTGAATAATTATTATATTCGTATTGAAACAAAAATGGTGAATTGAAATGTAATAATTATTTTAGGACTTTAAATAGTTTATATTATTATTATTGTATGAACATTATAAAATTCTTCTTTGTATAGTATCATTCGTATATATGTTCAGCATTTAGATAAATAAAAAAAATAAATATATTTTTTATTAAATCACATGATAGACTGATATCTAATGAATGACGTAATAAATCAAAAAAAAATTTTTTTGTAGCCATTATAAATGAGGTCCTTAGAGATCAATAGCTTTCCCCCTCTTTGGATACATCAGCGAAAAATAAAACTGTCCTTTTAACGTAGACAGTAGTGATGTCAAAACAATCATCTATCCTGAACGGTATTTAATAAATGACATTTAAATTAATAATTAAAGTTTTAATTAAAAAATTATTCATTAATATCGAAATTGATGAAAAAATTTTGTGATAATTATAGCCACGGAGGAAGATATCCAACTCCTTCTTTCGGCGACATGTCATATTGGTGCCAAAAATTTGAATGTTCAAATGATTCCTTATGTTTTTAAACGTCGACCTGATGGTAAGATATGAATCATTTTATTTAAAAATCATCATTTCGAAATAAATTTGTTTTTGAATTAATTATTTTTTTGATCAAAATCGATTATTAATAATAAATTTTATTCGTATTAATTTAAATTAACTTTTTTTCTCTGACCTTCCTTTCATAGGAGTTCACATTATTAATATCGGTAAAACATGGGAAAAATTGACTTTCGCTGCCCGAATTATTTGCGCTATTGAAAATCCTGCTGATGTGGTTGTAATTTCAGCACGTCCATATGGACAAAGAGCAGTATTAAAATACGCATCATATACAGGAGCTCAACCTTTTGCAGGAAGGTTCACACCTGGTACATTTACTAATTATATTACCAGATCGTTTAAAGAACCGAGATTAATTTTAGTAACAGATCCAAAAACGGACCATCAAGCTATAAAAGAAGCATCATATGTTAATATTCCAGTTATTGCGTTAGCTGACACTGATTCACCATTAAAATTTGTTGATGTAACAATTCCAACAAATAATAAAGCAAAACATTCGATTGGACTAATTTACTGGATGTTAGCAAGAGAAGTATTAAGACTTCGAGCTACCATTCCACGTGAAATACCATGGTCCGTTATGGTTGATATGTTCTTTTACAGAGATCCTGAAGAAGCTGAAAAGGAAGGTGAAACGGCTTTAGCTACTACTGCTCCTGAAAAAAGTTTTACTAGTTTTGAACCTACTAGCAGTTGGGATGAAGGTACAACAGATTGGGGTGCTGAAGGTCCTGGTGCTGTTAGTGGCATTAGTCCTGCTTTAGCTGTTACCGCTAGTGCTACTGGTGGTGTTGGTGGTGGTAGTTGGGATACTCCTATAGATGAAACTGGTGGTAGTTGGGATACCCCTATGGAAGAAGCTGGCGGAGGCGGCACTGTTGGCACTGTTGTTGGTAGTCGTGGTGTAGGTGGTGGTGGTTGGGAAGCTCCTGAAAGTGGTGGTACTTGGGATACTCCCACAGCACCTGTACCTCCTCCAACTGAACCTGTTGAAGAAACTGCTGCTGCTGCTGGTGGTGGTGGTTGGGATGTTCCCGCAGACGAAAGTGGTGGCTGGGGTGATACTACCACAACAACAACTACAACAACTGCGTTAAATGATGGTTTTGAGACCACCACTACTACTTTCGAAACTACGATTCAAACTACTACAGGTGGTGGTAGTTGGGCTGATGAAACTTCTGCTGAAAATACTGGATGGTAAAATATGTGTGTTTTAAATTAAAGGAAAAAAAAGTTAGCGTGTTTATTATGTTTTCTAAATTTTTTTTTTTAAAAAAAAATTTATTACTAATAGTCTATACATTATTTCACAAAATAAAACAAATGTTTTTCTCGATTATTATTCATTTATTAGTACTTTTCCAAATAATTCAAATCCTTTAATATAAAAAATAACAATCAAAAAAAAATAATAATCCTATAAATATATTTATATCCTAACTTAAGCAAAATAAATTAAAAATGGAAATATAATATAAAATGGAATAAACCCTATTATTACTTTTAACAAAAAAAATTACATTAGCATTCATTTTTTTAAATTTTCTTTTTGTTTGGACCTTTGTAATTCTGCTTGAGATGGAGCTAAATCTAGTCTATCAAATTTTTGCTCGTCGAAAAATTGAGCTGTAACTTGTCTACCACCAAAAAATCTACCGTGTAAATCTTTTTTGGCTCTAATTGCTGCTACAATATCTTCAAACTTTACAAATATTCGTACTGCTTCATCATCCGGAATTTTTCCATGTGGTACCTAACGCAATAAAAAGATGCAATAGAAAGTTATAAATTAAAAAATAAATAAGATTTTAGTTTAAATTAATAATTATGTACCTCAAAAATAAGACATCTTTCAACCGTTCCGTATTTTTCATTACATTCGTCAGCTGTTTCTTCTTGAAGTGTGTCATCGACTTCGCCAGGCCCAACCTAGCAAAGATGAAAAAAAATTTCTCCAATTAAGAGAAACGGTTAAATATAAAATAAATAATAAAATAATTATAATATATTACCATATTTGTTAGTAAGATCACTCTGGAAGGAAGTTCAGTATCTGGAAAATACCTAGCAGAATTTTCACCCTCTTTTTCAGATTTACCTAAAGTGAGGAATAAGAATTAAAAAAAATATAATTTTCTTTTCTTAAAAATTTCAATGATATATACCTGGTGTATTGTTGTTAACAATAATTCCTGATCTAACATCGGTTTTTTGAACTGCTAATGGCTCACTAATACCTTGTTCATTCCTACCCAATCCTATTTAAAGGTAATATAAAGTATAAAATATTTTCTTAAAATATCATAAATTTACTAAATTAAATATTTTCAATACCATGTCCTTCTTGCCAGCCAAATTTAGTCAACATTCTATGGGCAAAATCTTCTCCAGATCCTAGGCCAGCTGTAGACTTTGGTTCAGGTGATCTACAATGTAAATATAATAAGATAAGTAACATTTGGACTGTCATTTCTTCAAACCAAAATTTAATTACTTTGAAGTTTCCTCATGAGCACGATTGCTTAATCGAGCTCTTCTTAGAAAGGCTTCTTCACCGGTCATATCTAAATCAATTTTAGCAGGCGGAGAACGAGCAACAGGAGGAGTATTGTCTATTTCACTTTGCGGAGAATCATCATACAACAATGGTGGAGGCGGAAAATGACCTAAAAGCCAAGGGAAAATGTTCCATAAATGTCTTAAAGTTAAGTAAATCTAATTTTGTTACTAACGTCGTGGAGAACGTCTATCACGTTCAGGACTCGTGGATTTTTGTCGTTTACGTTCTTCCTGCCGACGATAAATTTCATCCTCTCTACGCCTTTTTTCTACTTCTTTATAATCTTCATAATCATTTGGTCGAGTAGGATCATAATCGTCTTCCAACAACAATGGAGCTTGTTTTTTGCCTTTATTCATTGACTTTTTCTATAAAATAAAAAAATGACAGAAAATAATGTTATAGAAATACAATATAACAAATAATAAATAAAAGGAATAGTTATTAACTTTATCAAAGCCACTACGCTGATTCCTTTGAGAATTCAAAACGGATTTGAAATCATTAACATCTTCTGGCGAAGAATTTTGTTTTGGAGGAGATGTTGTGGAAGAATACATGGCAATAGATAATCTACTATCAATTGAAGAAGCCAAAGCCTGAGTAGGTGACACATGACTTTGGAAAGGAGGAGGGCTTGAAAAGGCAGTATTCGATTGTTGTTGGCTTGAAGGTATTTGATTCGCTGTAACATTAGTAGTAATAGAACTTGTAGTAGTACTAGCAGTAGCAGAATTGATAGAAGTAGAGTTCGAAACCGAAGAAAGACTGGTAGTTGTGGTAGTAGTGGTGGTGGTGGTGGCAGGAACCGGAGGAGAGGAAATTGTAACTCGAGAAGCCCTAGGTTTTGGCTGAACTACAGATTTTCTCTGAATTGTAGGCATAAAACGCAACGTTCCAGGAGTCCAACCAACTGTGAATAAAGCATTCGTTTCGGCATATTGTATACGGGTAGTAAAACGTTGCGTTTAATTTGTTTTCGGTGGTTTTGACGAAATGTTATTTTAAAGGTGAGTGAAATTTTTTTTTTTTTTTTTAAAATTTTGGGATATTCGATCATATATTGTAACATACTACTTAAAATTTATCAAGCATAAAAGTGAAAAAAGTCTGAAACAAGATCCAATTTTCAAATTTTTATAATAAAAGTTGCGGTATTTATTTGGGTTTGCCAGAATCTGCTTGTACCTGGGAGAGCAGATTTAGACGGTTTCGAAGTAGAAGTTGATTCCGATGTAGAAGTGGACGTCGTAGAAGCACTCGTAGTCGTCGTAGATTGTTGCTTAGCAGTTTCTTCTTTTTCTCCAGTACCACCTGGAGAAGAATGCGTTGGTGGTGGGAGATCTCCGTATAATGATGACATGTTTTATTTAATGGTCTTAAAGTTTCTCTATGAAAAATTGTTATTACTTTCTCGAATCTGTTAAAAAGAAAGATAAATTAGAAAAAAAGGTTATGTAATAATAAAATTGGGTAAAATCGGGTAAATTTTCCACGATATATATGGGCAAAAAATTTAGGGGTCCAAATTTTATAACAATGCATTGATTGGCCAAGAATTGGCATCATGCATTACCCGTGAGAAGTTATCGGAAAAATCATGGTATAATTATTCGGCTCTAACAATTTTTTATTATGTCAAGTTACTTAAATCCAATAAATGTTTTAAAACCAAATAAAGAAATTCAGGTAATAAAAATGGAGAACTTCCAAATATCTTATAGATATAAAGGCATTTTACTTATAACTTTCCAAAGTTTGTTTAGTAATGTTTTTCAACAAGGTTAGTTTGCATTTTTTTAAACATAAAAGTATTTTTTAAAAAAATTATTTTATTTTCCAATACTGTTTAATTCTATTAATTTTTTAATACAAAAAGATAGTTTGAAGTTTTGATAATACCTTCTAAATTGTAGAACCTAGCAATTTTTTTTTTAAATACAAATAATTAATTTACTTTTGTAGTTTTTTAATATTCTACTTTTGATGATTTTTTATAATTAATCACATAAAATTCTATTTATAAAAGTTTTATTTAAGCATGAATATAAGAATAATTTTATAATTAATGTCTTTATAAAATTGAATTAATATATATTTTTATTTATTTTTATATCATCAATATATTTTACAAATATTCTTTTTCATTATAGATTATTTTAATGTTAATATCATATTTTTTTAATCAATAAGATTTTTATTATATTTTATTGATAAATTTTATACAATATATTTTAAGTAATTTTTTATAAGTAAAATTCATAAAGTATACTATTTCTAATAATTTTATTATTATAAATCAATATAAATTAGATCCAAAAAAATATATAACTGATTTTATATAATTAAACTTAATAGTTACAAATATAAAAAATGTCAAATTTTTCATTTCATTTAATAATTTTCTTTTTTAATTTTAATTTTATGTCTAATAAAGTATTCTATCTAAAATAAAAGTATTATATTTTTATTTATTAAATAGATCTAACCTAATAAAATCAGATCAATTATTAACCTAAATTAAATATATATTTGACCTTACTTAACCTAAACTAACCTATATATCATATAATTTTAAGTAAGGTCAGGTCTAAAATTGCTGAAAAAACTGAAGGTTTCTTTACTTATTAAATTGCTAAAATGCTAAAACTTATGCATAAAAATGATTCTCATAATTGTTTTTAAATTTTATTTGAGTTACAACCTAATTGAAACACTAATAAATTTAATTGCAACATGAGTTGCAACACAATTGTGATATTTTTTTGGTAATTGCAACGCTATCTTTACTTATGCAAAATTATAACAAAATACTAAAATACTAAAACTATCATAATAAATGCTAAAATTAGAGAAATTATGATAAAACTATATTAAGCTTTTATAAAAATTTTGCTAAAACTAATCATAGAATTTTGATGAGATTTAGACAAGCATTTTTAAACAGATCAATTATACTTAAATTGATATAATTTGTCTAAAAAAGAAAAAAATTTTTTGTTTTATTAGTTTAATAATATAATTATACTTCAATATAATGAAGTTAATGTCTAAGTCAATCAGATTTTTGTTATAAGAAAATTTGTTATTACTATAACAAATTATTTGATATAGTACAACAAATTATTCAGTATAATAGATGATTACTGAAAAAAAATACAAATATAATTTAATATGTTATAATCAAAGTTAATTTTATGATAACATTTTATAGAATAACCTCTTTGTAATTAAAGTTAAAGTGATCTTGAAGTAATTTTAATAATGCAAAAATTGTAATTAATCTTAAATGAAACAATTTATAATAATAAATATAAATTTATTTTTAAAAGATTTAATTGAAAATAAAAAAAAATGCCTTTATTTTAATATAACTAAAAACTTTTCAATAAACAAAAAAAAGGTAAGAAAATTTATTAATGATAGTTTAAAACTTAATTATATTATTTATTTATATGAAAAAATTAAAAATTAAAAATAAAAATAATAAAAAAAACAATAAAAAAAAATAAAATATCACAAAATGAAAACCTTATCTTCAGTAAAAAAAATAAATTAAAAAAAATAAAACCTTATACAGTCAAACCTTGGCATATCAAATTCTTGATATAGCGAATTTTTAAATCAAATATATTAAAATT